GTTTCACTTCAATAACTTGATTCAAACAGTAGCTTACTTAAAAAAATAATAATAATAATAAAATGAAGAATAATGTTTTCAATGTATTTCTGACAGGGGGTGCAAGTGCACCCCCTTGCACCCTGCTGCCGGCGCCCATGATCATAGGCCTGAATATAACATTGATATTCTCATACCATGCTGTTTCATAAGCAAAAAAAAACGCAATCTACAGTGTCTCTCGAAAGTGACAGAAAAAAATATATATTTTTTCCGTTTTTTTGTTTTTTTGTTTTCTAAGTTTAAAAAACTGTTCAGGCATATTTTTGAGATCAAAATAGTTTTTTTTTTTTTATCAGCCACAGGATCTGTTACCTACCAAAATACAGGGTACTAAAAGAAATTAAATCATTTTTTAACATTGGAAATGTTTATGTTCTCGCGTATATGGGATCTAATTCGAAGTTTTCGTTCAAGGTCAAAAGACGGCGGTGTCGCCAGTGGCGTGCGGTGAATTAACCCGAAGAATGTCACAGTAGGCGCAGTGCTTGATGCGCCTTGCTGGCAAACAGCAGCGCGCGGAAAGGGTTATATCGTTATCTGGGCGGTCAAAATTGAAAAAAATAAATAAATGGGGATTATGGGATAATGGGACAAACATTATAGCATTTAGCGTTCGTTCTATAATAGATATTTACGATACAAGTGAGCTAAACGCATACTTAAGAAACGCGTGTGGATTAGTGTGGAAGTTGCCCAACGAGTGCGTAGCACGAGTTGTGTATCTCACTGACGTAGATAAATATATTATATGTGTTAAATAGGTTTCATATAATTGTGTTATCATTTCTAATGTCTCAGATGGTTGCAAGGATTGCGAAGTCTGTGATTTTTCTTATAACTGTATATTATTGAGAGTCGGTTTAATCGTTGAACTATGCTTTAATGTTGTTATGAATTTTGTTTACATCAACAACACTCATTTTGACTTTTATCGATATTAATGACTTTTAGTTGAAATTGACGAAATTGTGTGTCGGCATCGTTGATTTTCACATGTTAATTAAAAGATCGTTGCGCTTTAATTATAAATTGTTCTTATTATTGTTAGTATTGTTTTAGTTCATTATTTCTTGTTTATTATCTTTTCGTTTCGGCTTAGTCATTATATTTATTTGTTAAAAATTTCTATTGGATTTTTGGATCTATTTTATTTGGTAAGTGAAGTTCAATCCAACTAAGAAAAAGCCATCAGCTAGTCATCGTCTGTCTCACTCCGCGAAACAACTAGGAATATTGTAAAGTGAGACAGACCGATGACCAATAGATGTAGATGACCCGTGTGGCTTTTTCCTTTAGATCCAACTATACCTGCTTTTTTTGATTTTAGATAGTGGGCAAAATAATTATAATAATGAACCGTTTTAGAGACAGAATTCATATGATGTGCTTTCTGTGCAATACAGTAGGCCGAGTAAAAACCATGAAAAGAATTGATGGCGAAAACAATGCTGTCAAACGACAAATAGCCTTGACTAGACGAGAAGCTACTGGAAGACGATCCAACTTGTTTGAGGTTAAACGAGTTAAAGCAGACTACCAATAGCACTTGTTTAATTTGCAATGATATCGAAAATCTACAGCGTTTAAGTATAGAGTGCCGAGTAGTAGAAGTTTTTGTCACCGAAAATATCTATATATCGGAAAATGTCAGGTCGTGCATTCATCATCTAGATGAAAACGGAATTATTCTCAGGCCTCTACTTCGAGGTTTAGAGTATGTCAACAGACCATACGTTGTCCACAGCTCAGTGCATTTTTGCAGCGGGGCTCAGAAAAAGGCACAACACCAAAAAATGGGAATTTATCGACGTATCTAGTTTTACTGCTGAGGAATTTGCATCTTTGTCTCCTATTAATAAGGATCAATTCCGAGATCTCTTCAACTACTGCAATCCTATAAATGTTGGGAATAGAAATATTTCGCAAAAGCACCTCTTAACATTTTTATGCAAATTGAAGCAAGGTATTTCGGACGACTTCCTAAAAGTTATTTTCAATTATAACACTAGACAAGCAGTAAGTTTAGAAATAAGCACAGTTCGCGAATGTTTGATGGACCGGTTTGTTAATGAAAATATAGGAATTAATTCTATTACACGGCAACAGTTCATCGACCGCCATGTTACTGATTTTGCAAATCAGTTATATAACCCCGATCCAGAAGATAGAAAAGCAATAGTTTATATTGACGGAACGTACAGTTCAATACAAAAAAATTCAAATTTTCAGGCCCTAAGACAATCTTTTTGTGTTCACAAAGGCAAACATTTGGTAAAGCCAATTTTAATTGTGGCCACCAATGGATACATTTTAGATATACATGGCCCATACTTTTCTGACCATGGTAATAATGATGCATCCATAATGACTTCAGAATTTCAAAATGACATGAATGGGATAAGACGCTGGTTCCAAGAGGAAGATATTTTTATTGTAGATAGAGGATATCGTGATGCTATTGGCATGATGGACGCGCTGGGCTTAGAGCACAGAATGCCGTGCAGTGTTAGGCCTGGACAACGACAACTCTCTACGGAGGAAGCCAATGAATCACGCTTGGTAACAAAAACACGTTGGATCGTGGAAGCCAGAAAAGGGCATTTCAAATCAAAATTCAAATTTTTTTCTGAGACAATTATAATGCCCCACGTTATCAATTTAAAAGACTTTTATAGAATTTGCGGAGCAATTATAAACAAGTATTGCGACGTAATTATTATTAATGAAGCGAACGTCGACATGGCCAACATGATTCTAGAGAGATCTCGACTAGTGAATGGATTAAAAGAAATAGTATTGAACAACAATTTGGACAGGAGACATGGGAGGTGGTCAAGGCTAACCGAGGAATACATTCCAAATTTTCCTAGGCTAGATATGAATTACCTGAGAGATTTGACAGTAGGAACTATCAGTTAAGATTGGCAGCTGCTTATGTTCAAGATACCCAACATCGAGAACAAGGCAATGATCTTCATATAGATGAACAAAACGAGTTATTTGATACAATTCGTATAAGGGTGTTTTCCCGCCACAGAAACAACACCAAATACCAAATGTGGATTCGCTACCAAAATAATGGGGCAAATCCTATAACTGGATATTACTGCACGTGCAAAAGTGGTGCAAGAACTTTAGGCGCATGTGCTCATGTTTCGTGCGTTTTGTGGTTTTTGGGATATTCCCGGCATGAACCAAATATTCTATATCCAACGACCATGTTGTTAGAAAATGTGCTAGATGTCCAACACAGGAATAATTGAAGCTTCAATTGTTGTAGGTAAATTAATGAACTAGCTGTTAGAGTATACATTATTGAGTATGTTTGTTTTTAGCTCAATGGTTTTTAGCCGCATAATATTGGAATGTGAAATATTAGCTTGATTAGTGGGTACTTATGAAAGGATACAGAATTTAGTAAGGTTGTCAGGATATTGATTATAAATGCTATTGTTTCAAGTTGATGTTCTTAAGACGATTTGAAACGTATCAATTTCTTGTGTTGAGAAAACATTTTTTAAAAAATTAATCGTTTTTTTTATTTTTGTTTGGTTTGCTTTCAAAAGTCAAAAGTCAAAAAATGCTTTATTGTCTAAGAACAAAATTCTCGTTGACAAAGCTGTAAAAGGGGGAAAAAAAAAAAAACATTATACAAAAATAATTCCAGGGCCATAGAGTACCAAGATTGAAATAATCAAAATAAAAATACAATACAATGTCAGACTAAAACAATAAAATCATTTAAACAGTCATTAAAACAAAAGATGAAGTCACTTTAAAAATCAACATAAATATAAACATAAATCAACATAAATACAAAAAAATGTTCATTCTAAAATATAAAATACAAAATATCAAAATTGCACAAACGTAAAGTCAACAGACATAGAAGTCATTAAATAAAACTACAAATTATATTCAGACAGTCACAAGAAAGCATCTTGGAAAAATTCTTCTGTGCTATAGTAGGCCTTTGACCTCTAGACTTAAACTTGAGGAAGGGCCTTTGTACACCGAGGTAGTGCCAATGAAAATTGATATTTTATTGTGAATGGTTTTTTAAGATATATGTAATAATAAAGGTACATACGTATTAAAATATTCGTGTGATCTATCTCATAGTTTTCAGTAATACCGATATTATAGAGTTTCCCTCCTTACAAAAGCTCAGTCTAAATACTCATTTTATGTAATGGTTTTTATTTAACTAATCTGCGATCTGCGTAAAACAGCAGATTACTTCACCAATCGTATCTAATAATTGAATAAACTGTGAAAAGTACTCAAGATTAAAATCTACTAAATCGATACTATGGTATAAAAAAACGTTTTTTTTTTTTAGCACCCTGTATCTTGGTAACAGGGCATTTTCTGGCTGATATGTTATGTAGAAAAAAAAAATATTTTGAAAATATTTTGACCTCAAAAATAGTAAAAATACACCTGATCAGTTTTTCAAACTTTGGAAAAAATATACCTATATAATTTTCTATCGCTTTCAAGACACACTGTAGATTGTTTTTTTTTGTTATGAAACAGCATAAGTATTGGAATATTGATGTTAAATTGTTTTTTGGTCAATATTGGTGAAAATGTACGTTACAAAATACGGAGAAATAGTGTTTGACATTTATTTGCCATTTACAATAATATCATTAAATCCCAACTTTGATAGCTCATATCTCGAAAACGGCTCGATAAATTTTTTTGCGGCCATGAGAGCAATCGATCAGCAGGTCATAAACTACAACATATAAAAAATTCAGCCATTTCTACTGGGACCGGATTTACATAAGATTTGTGCGGGGTCCTTTTTGCGAACATAAAAAATATATTTTTTTTTGAGTTGCATTAATAATCCAAGTGATGGATTTTATACTATCTGAAGGCCTCTATAGAGGTGATTTTCGTCCTGTCTGTACACCACTAGAATACTGACTTGCTAATGTTTAATTTAGGTGCTTTGGAAGTGATATACCGCTGGACGCAGAGCCATTGCAGAAATGTAGACAATCCTGATTTAAAAGACATACTTGCTCAGGCTATGGCAAAATTACAAGACAGAATGGTTTTTTTCAAGTACGTTATTGAAGAATATTGCATCGGTAGAAGAAGTTTTTTGGTAGGGGAATTTTTGAATGCTTTGACGAAAGGAGGTGAGATTTAGTTAGAATGTTTATCAAATATACTAGGTATTGTATTGATTCAGGGCCCTCAGGAAATCCAGCTCCAATAGAAACGCGAGCTCATGATGCTCAAATATATGTTACTGACATGTTGGTTTGGATAAACAGAGCCATTCCGATTGAAAAACAAAACTTACAACTTCTAGTAACATCTTGTACATGTGAAAGTGAGTTAAATAATTTGGTAAAAACATCATAAGTTATTTTTGCTTATTTTGCAGACTTAGATGAAATTGTTAATGATGCTCTCGCTAATATTTGCGAGGGTATTTGCCAGCCTTTGAAAATAAGAATTGAAAAAATTTTAATTGTTCCCACACAAGCTGCTACGCTTTATGCTGTAGTAAATATGTTAAGGTAATATCTTCTCCAAAAAAAAAAAACACACATTTTCACTGTACTTTCTTTGTTGTCTAGGTATTATAAAAAATGCATCAATAAGCTAGTTAAAGGAGGTCAACTTGAAGACACCTTAACGGAATTATTAGAAAAGAGTGAGCAAGTATTTTTGGAATTGTTGCAACAACAAATAAATGGCCTTTTGGTACGTGTTGAAGCACCTCCGAGAGATTTAAGCCCGACTTCAGCTGTCTCTCATTTATTAGCTGTTTTAAGAGATATGCTGTCAACAGCTAGCATGAGTGAAGGTAAATAATTCAACCAACAATGTAACAAACATTAAATACAGCTTATTTTAGGCCGTGAAACTGATATGATAAAAATAGCAAATGCAGTCCTAGAGCCACTTCTTAGAGCAGTCAATGAGCAAGCCGCAAGGTTGCCACCAACAGACATGGCTGTTTATTTATTAAATTGCATGTATTCAATGTACACTTGCTTGAGCATGTACGAATTCATGGAGGATAGATTAGAGAGGTTGCAGGCTCAATCAGATGCCCAAATTGACACACTTACCTCGGAACAGGCAAGTTCTTTGGTAGCAAATTTAAGTTTGGGCCCTATTTATACTATACTTCAGGATCATTCTCAAGACGCTTTATCTGGAGTACCAGGTAGGTTTTACTTCATAAATATGTTTCAATACAAACCTGGATTTTCAGGTATGGAGCCTTCAAATCTTCGTAATTTTCTTTTGAAGTTAACTAATTTGTCAGTGCAGCCGGATTCCATTTTGCTGCCTCAAATTAACTTATTGCTGTCTTCCAAACATAAAAAGTCCGTTCAAAAGAGGTCATTCGCTCTTCTTCTGGCCATTTATAAGCAGTTGTACGAAGCAGTCCATAATCCTGCTAATCAGTATGATAATCCTTCAGACATTTTGAGTAAAACACCTGAAGAACTTAATTCGATGTTTGAATAGATGAACTCGTGCACTATTATGTATTATTTTTTATTGCATATTTTAAATTTAGGTTTAGGTGTAAATTATAAAATTGAAATGAGTTCTAGTGAATAGGGTCTTCTGAAGATTCTCCTAGGATTTATTGCAGTTTGTCCTACTCATTATGAACAGTTTGTTCTTAGTTAAATGAATAAACATTATTAATGGCACGTCAACTGTTAAATTGGATTATCATGAGTCTTACATTACTTCAAATCTGCATGTGTATCACGTCCAGTTAGATTAATGTTGAAGGAGAAAAAAATCTTATTCACAAGCTTTGTGATTTTGTGTATTTACCAGATTCCTTGTAATAACTGTCCAAAAACATGTATAAGAATGACGTCACAGCATTTAAAAAAGCGTGTGTACCATCATAAATATGACTGTTATACAAAAAACGCTGTGCCTAGCCTCCCGGCACCGGTATTCATACGAATCCCGGTTATGACGTGTTTTCGATGACTCCATCAACGACAGCCGGGATTTATCGGGGATCCCGGCTATTGGATTCAAAATTCAAAGTCATGTTTCTCTTGCTGCATGAAGCTGTGATTAATTCCGGAATAGCTTTTGTGTATTATTGTTTCTTGTTGTGATGTTGGTATTAGAGTGGTAAGTACTTCTTTAATCCACTTTTCGTAGTAGTGGTTTAAAAAGGGAATAGGTATGGTTTATTTTTAAGATATCAATTAAAAACTTTTTTAATTTGATACTCTTTAGTATGACGTCACCAGTATGCTCACAGCACCGAAAATTAAAACTATCCTTTTCACTTTTGACTGTGACTACCTATACTTATACTCTTCTCCTTTCAGGGACGTCTTAAGACTTCTTAAGGCCCTGGGCCTATATGTCAGAGGAGGCCCCTTACCTACAGGGGGGGCTGCTCTAGGGCATACGACATGATAAAACCTTTTGAAATCAGCGTTGCCACCTCACAAAAATTAAATGTAATAGATTCAAGCCAAAATTGTAATAGATTTGACTTTTTGGTAATAGATTCTTTCATCTGTCACTTCTGTCAGTTATGCATGAGAGATAACCAAAATATTGAATAGGCGCTCCACCATTATGCGCCGTATTTATTTTTATGCTGTGTTTTTATGCTCAATTTACTCATTTGCGTTAGTTTTTGTTGCCACAAATTAGATATAGGTATAGGATTATTTATTCTTTAGTCATAGAATCACTTAGTTCAGAATCAGTTCTGAATTGAACTGCGTTCACGCATTTGTTCATACCGAACATAAATAAACAAATGCGCATGCGCAGCTTAATTCAGAACTGATTCTGAACTAAGTCCGAACAAACCTATTATGAAACTGAAAGTGAAGCATTTTCATTCAGCGGTTTTCAGTTTTCACGCACAAAGGACTCAACATTGACAAAAGATGTTTTTTTAAAGTGTTCTGCGTGCTTTGATGTGATAATTTATGATGCCTGTAAAATTTTTCAATTGCTTATTCACCAAAACATAATTTTCCCGAAAAAGTAATAGATTTTTTCCTTTGGTAATAGCGTAATGGAAATTACTTGATTGTAATAGATCTATTACGATTGTAATAGGGGTGGCAACACTGTTTGAAATGTGAAAATGTAATGTAAGGTACCTGACCCAAATAAGGCCATGTACCTAATAAGGCCAATGCCCCTTATTGCTTAATATTGAATCCCATAATCAAAAATTGAAATATTATTGAAAAAGATATCTATTATGCAAATCAAAAATTATTCCGAGGATTCCTAGCAACTCGTTATATGTCGAAAAATGGCTAACCACAGATTTCATATGTCACGTTATAACTTTGAGGCTGGAACTTAATTAGTTTATACACATGTTCAGAAAGGGAATGGAGCGAATGTAATTTTTACATGGACATTTATGTATTGAGAAGGCTACAGAGTAAGTACAGAATAATATCTTTGCTAGATTTCTAGTTACAGAATTTTGTTTATCAATGTAACATGTTCCTAACAAGGCCACATGAAAAATTTTCAATTGGCCTCCCATCACAGTGTTTTTTTAAAAAGAATGTGTCATATTATTGCTTAAGTGATGTGTTCTAGAACGCCTGAAGTCTAACCAAGCAAGAAAAGCTGCGGTTCATTTGTCCTAGTTGTATGTAGACCTATTCGGATTACCATCCCTAGACTTCAAATTATTGTTTTTTTAGAATGCAGCAAACGTTAAAGTTCTATTTTGAGAACTTTATGTCGAAAAATAATATTTTTATGAATGATTCTATTTATTTTAAACATTTTTTATTGTTGGCCTTATTAGGAGCATAGTGATCCGAATAAGGCCAATGGTAAGGGTCATTGTTTTACGCAAAAACCACCACTTATATGTAAAAATAAATAAATTGGAGTTATTATTCAAGTAATAGAGGCGAAACACTTCACATATAAGCTCGTGATTCTTGTTGGGTTTGGTGGATAGTGTTCGGGAAAAATAAAACTTCTTAACATGGCCTTATTTGGGACAGGTACCTTATATATTGTGGAAAGAAAATAACAAATTACAAAGGTCGTTTTCTAGAGTTTACAGAGGCAAAATCGTGAATTATGTCTTCAAAATCAACGGTTTGTGAGATTGAAGTTTAAATACCAGTAATTTTCATTTGTTCTTTCTCAGCGGTAATTTACCGGTAATTTTTCACCTCTGGGCACACCTCTTATGGGTTTTTGGTTTTCTGTCAAACTCAATGAAATTTTGATATGTGGTATATCTTGACTTACTGATAAAAAGTTCTCATGGGCCCAACCCGATACTATGAATAGTTTCCGAAATACAGGTGGTTTAATGTCCAAGAAATGTACACATTTTATATGCATTCACATCTCCCTGTCACCTATTAATAGGCCAGTCAGAGAGGAGAGAATTTCATTGGTTGAAACTAGTTTTCTGGCTGTTTCTGACTGTTTTCGACCAATCAAATTCGCTCTGACGGGTTTGTGATTTTTGCAGAAACACCTAATATTAGGTGACAGGTAGATGTGAATAGGTACATATAAAATGTGTACATTTCTTGGACATTAAAGTACCTGTATCTCAAAAACTAATCATAGGATTGGTTCGGGCCCATGAGAACTTTTTATCAGGAAGTCAAGGTCTATCACATATCAAAATTTCATTGAGTTTGACAGAAAACCAAAAACCCATAAGAGGTGTGTGCGGGGTCCTTTGGAAATATTTTATAAAACAAACAATTAAGTCCATATACTACATATACGTTCAAGGATTAGGTATATAGGATGTTTGGTACATCGATAGGAAGTTTTCAATGAGTGATAACTGATAATTGGGGTCATTTGGAAGCTGTTTGACCACATTTACCCTTATGTAAAGTTTCGTCGTTATTATAACATATTGTTTTTTTTTTGGTAGTAAACACTTCACTCTTTCTCAATTTTTTTTCCGATATTCCTAGTATGCACTTTTTCAAAAAATACGGAGAAAAAAAAACCGAATGATTGATACAAAAAATATGTAACCCAAGTTATGTGTTAAAATACATGGATTCAAAATATCTAAAAATGGCAATGTCTCAAAAAACGGTGAAACTTTTCATTGGGGTAAATATGGTCAAACAGCTTCAAAATGACCCCAACTATAACTCATTGAAATATTCTTATCGATGTACTAAACACCCTGTATACTTACAGGATTTTTTACCTAAACGACCATTTATCATAATTGTGTTTGTTGTAAAACTTTACCTCGTAGAAATATTGCAATAAACAAATAATAATACCTAATTCATAAATCGAAAAACGAGTAAAGAAAATCAAACAAAAATAAAACAGAAATAAATTCCTCCAATAAGATGGATAAAAACACCCGTGGAAAAACATTACACCTAACTCTCGCGGAGAATGTCTTTTCCACCCTTGACCGTCCACATCCCTTGACAGCTTGCCAACTGCCGCCGCCGGCGGAAAAGCACCACTTTCTGCACTTGTTAGGTAAATAACTATTTGTTTATGCCAACCCTGAAAGCGCGTTCTACAGATTCACAACTAGATGGCGAAGAATGCATGAAAAGGATTGTCGCCTGAATGTGATTTCACTCAGGAAGCCTTTCTGAAAATTACCGGTAAAGAAATTTGTCGGGTTAAATTACCAAAATTACCTTACCAAAATTACCGTTACCGAGGTAACGTTACCACACTTCAATCTCTAACGGTTTGTAAAATTTTGCTTTCAATACTCAACAAATCATGGATAAAAAAAATTCTCATACCAATTTCATGTTTCCTACCCATTTCTACTTCCTGTGTTTTTAGTTTTTCAATATCTATGCTGATATAGGATTTGAAATGGTCACATTCCAAAATTAATTCATCGGTTTCTTTGTCATAAAATTGTGACAGTTTTACCACTTCTCTTGAAATTTCAATTTCACATGGTCAGACATTTTTTCAAAAAAACCGATTCTTTCAAATATTTTGTTACCCGTTACCTTCAAGGAAAGTTACTTTGTCTTTTCACTCGTGTCCTAATATCGCGGTACTCCTTTAAAACAGATTTTTCTCTGGATTTTGATTCATAAAAATCAAAATCGTCTCTTTTTCTCTTGTATATGCCATTAATGATTTAATAGTTATTTACCTAACCAATGCGGAAAGTGATACTTTACCGCACGCAACGGCAGTTGATCGATCGAGCCTTTAAGGGCGGTAAAGGCACTTTCCGCATGTGTTTAGGTACAAAATTTTACCTATGAACATCTACATCTCCAAAACAAGGCATTAATAAAATTAATCAATAAATCATATCAATTAATGAAATTAGATTAGATTTAGAAATGATCAAAAATCCATTTTCTGAAAAAGAAAGGATTTTCAATCATAAATACCAAAGTCTACTCTACCGCATACTATGCGGTAAAGTTAACTTTACCTCACACGGTAAAGTTACTTTACCGCATAGTGTGCGGTAAAGTGGACTACAAAGTGTGCGGTAAAGTGCACTTTACCGCATAGTGTGCGGTAAAGTAGAATTTGATATTTATAATAAAAAATCCTTTCGTTTTCAGAAAATGGATTTTTGATAATTTCTAAATCTAATCTAATTTCATTAATAAATCTGATTCATTAATTAATTTTATCAATGCCTTTTTTTGGAGATGTGTAGATGCTCATAGGTAAAATGTTGTACC